ATATATATATATATATATATATATATATATATATATATATATATATATATATATATATATATATATCACACATTCACACACTACGCAACCACCCTGTACTTTAGTGTATGTAACAAATTTTTCATTAAATTAATTTTCCTTTTCGTTCATTCGAGTCATTCTATGTATGAAAAACTCGATTTGTCATTTTTTTAATGAAAAAAGATAATGACAATTCTAGATTTTAAAATGGATTTTCCACAAACATTAGCACAAGTTTTTCAAAAACACATTCGTATAAATATGAATATGAGAATTCCACTATTTTTGGTCTTTTCGATCATCAGTTGTAACAAAATGAAACTATCAGATCACGATTATCAAGACATTGTCCATTTTTTAATTAATCAATAATAAAGAATAATGATAAATGAGTGAAATTCAGACAATTTCTTCCTTACTCTATTTCGGGGCGTGCGCTCACTAGTCAAGTGATTCAACGTTTTTTAATTAATCTCTATTATCGTTCATCCAGGGGAAATTAAATATCGTGCGACATAATAAACAATATGTAAGAGACAATTAATGGAGAAACTATGTAGTTGGGACACGTGGGTTTAGCTGAGAGTGAAATTTGTCGTGAATAGTCACTGCTAGATGATTTATTTTCATTGGGATGATTAATAATATTCGGCCTAGTCCCTGGCCTTTCAGTGAAATTATTGAGACACTATTGAGACTACTATGGCATTGGGGAAGAGCAATGATCGATGGGAATGAAAATTGTGAGGGTGATCCACGATATCGTAAATTTTTTTTAATCAATAAAGATTGATGATTAATCAGTGGCTATTTATTATAATGGTAAAATAACACGTGATATGACACCTTGAATTATTCCCATTAGAGATTCAATGAGACAAGTTATTTCTGTTGTGCAGGTGCAATTGTTATCTTATTTTATAATTCTTCATGTGGCTGTCATGAACATTTGAATATCAACGTCTGCACGCCTTTTTATAATGGAAGCATGTTGCTGAAGTTTCGAATAGAGCTTAATTCAAGTTTTCATCATTAGTTTTTCTTTCCGTTTGATTAAATCGATTAATTGTAAATTGTGAATACACAAATGTTGATGGAGAATTGTGAGAATTGACGTAAACCCCTTTTTTTTGTTGAACAAACCAACGAGCGTTTCGATGGATAATATGTGGCGGAATTAATCTTCCTGTAGTCTAATTAACGTGGTGTCAGTATGGTACGTGAAAATGATTTTAAATGTTGTGAGAGAACAGTTTAATGAGGACTAAACATCGATCATGTCTATGTGAAATGAAAATACCACATATTGTAAAAAAAAAAGGCTTGTATGTAATAAATACTTAATTAATACTGAAGTTATGGATGAGTTTTTTATCAATGAAGAAATTATTGAAGCAATTGGTTAATCAAGATTTTGGTAGTTAGTCATTCGAGATGGCATCAACAGTCAAATCATACTGGGCAACGCAACTATGTAAGTATATGAACATTTGAAGAGCAAGTGAAAAATTAATTCAAAATCGGAAATTAATTTTTTTATAATGGTGCCAGCAGTATAATGTTACTGAACAATCGGATAGAGCTTAATTTGAGTTGTTTTGCTTTCTGTTCGATTAAATCTGTTAATTGTAAATTGACTAAAAATCCTGAATCTAAAATCTCGAACTATGCCATACATTTTGAATAATTACAAATAACCCTGCGGTGACGGCTAATGAGGATATGTTTAATTCCTGAAATATATACGGTTCAATTCATGAAGCGTTTACATTTTTATTCCATTGTTGATTATTTTTTCAGCGTTTTGGGAGTTTGGGAGGATATTTGTAATTATTCAAAGAATATATTGTCAAAATTTCTTTCTATTTCTATCCATAGCCTGACCCTGACCATAAACAGCAGGAATTCCCACCATCAGTCCTGGAACACAATTTTCACAATTTCGTCGACAAGTCCACAACCTCTCTGACCAATCCTCCCTAAACCCCACTAGATGCCCCGGCACTCTCATACTCAGCCATTCATTCAAACCACTCAATCCACCGAGAGAGCCTGAGAGAGAG